AGGAATTTTTGTTTATCGGACCATTTCCCTCCACTGAGCACTGATACAGCCTGCTAATGGTGGCGGGTGGCATTGTCCCTAACGCGTGCCGCGTCTACTTAAGCCAGCCTCGCAATCCAGCCGTTGAACAATCGTCTCGGTTTTCGGTGTAACTTCCTTGACAATGGAGAGCACGCGTAACGCAGATCATCGTAGACAGAGTAAGTTGTCAAAGGGCTCATGATGTCTGTTTGGTTGGCGATGGTGTTGACAAGTGATATCAGACTACAAGAATAAAAGCAGTCTACGTGCTGATGATCTAAGAAGACGTCGAGAAGAGCAACAGGTTGAAATTCGCCGCCAGAAACGTGAGGAAAACATCTCAAAGCGTCGCAATCTAGATCTCGCAGAAGGTCCCGAGTCAGATGAAGAAGGCCCCAACAATGTGAGTACCTAGACTGATTTTTTTTTGGTTTGGTGGCGACTGGCAGTGATAGAGGTATCCCGCCACAAGCTCCAACTTTGGGTTACATGCTTGTACGCCAATAGCTAATGCATCTAATTTCTAGCTATCCCCCGAGTTAGTTCAGGCTGTCTTCTCCGATGATCCTACTAGGCAGATTGAAGCAACTACTAAACTGAGGAAATTACTCTCGAAGGAGGATAACCCTCCAATCGACCGCATCATCCAAAGCGGAGTGGTGCCACGATTCGTGGAATTCCTTGCTGGTCCTCATCCCGCACTTCAGGTGAGTTAGAACCAACGCTATGGCAACTGAGACTCATGTCTCCTTAGTTCGAGGCCGCGTGGGCATTGACCAACATCGCGTCGGGTACTGGGGAGCATACTATGGTCGTTATTAATGCTGGAGCTGTTCCTCACTTCATCAACTTGCTTTCGTCTCCGGTCCTTGACGTTCGCGAACAGGCTGTATGGGCACTCGGCAATATTGCTGGGGATAGTCCTGCATGCCGTGATTATGTTGTCCAAGCGGGTGCCTTGCGACCGCTCCTGGCTCTACTCTCTGAGAACCACAAACTTAGTATGCTCCGTAATGCAACATGGACCTTGAGCAATTTCTGCCGGGGGAAGCAGCCGCAGCCCGACTGGGAGTTGATCTCACCCGCCCTGACTGCCTTGAGCAAATTAATCCACTCTCCAGACGATGAGGTCTTGATTGATGCTTGCTGGGCTATATCCTATTTATCAGATGGGTCAAACGATAAAATTCAAGCTGTCATTGATGCTGGCGTAGTTCGTCGGTTAGTTGAGCTCTTGTCGCACAAGTCCAGCTCGGTCCAAACTCCCGCCTTGCGATCTGTCGGAAATCTGGTGACTGGTGACGATCTCCAAACACAAGTGGTCATAACAGCTGGAGCTTTACCTGCTCTGCTGAGCCTTCTCTCTTCTCCGAAGGACGCAATTCGGAAAGAAGCTTGCTGGACAATCTCAAATATTACTGCCGGCTCTCCAATTCAAATCCAAGCCGTTATAGAAGCTAATTTGGTTCCACCTTTAATCAATATTTTGGCCAATTCACCGGACTTCAAAACGCGCAAGGAGGCTTGCTGGGCAATCTCAAATGCCACATCAGGCGGCCTACAAGAGCCCCAACAAATTCGCTATCTTGTACAACAAGGATGTATTAAACCCCTATGCGATTTATTGACTATGATGGACAATAAAACCATCCAAGTGGCCTTGGATGCGATCGATAATATCCTGAAAATTGGAGAACAAGATCGTCTCGCCCGTGGGCCAGGAGCATTCAACGAATATGCCATTTATGTCGAGGATGCAGGAGGGATGGTCACGATACATAACCTACAAACTCATGATAACATGGAGATCTACGGGAAAGCCTTCTATATCCTAGAGAACGTGGGTACTTATTCTTTAGCCTGGAGATCATTCACTGATGTCTAACTTAGTACTTCCCTGATGAGGAGGAAGCCGAGATGGTACCAAATGGCCAAGAA